GCAAGTTAAGTTAATATTCTAAAACAGCTCTCAGCGGCTGCACAGTAGTCCCTAAATGTCCAGAGTGTGAGGCCAGTGTTGAGGGAGGTGGTAGCACAGAACAAAGATTACCAACCAGTGGTGGCTGTGCGTGTGAGTAGCTGGGGGGACAGTACAAGACCAAAGTGGTCCTGCTACTCAAGTAGAGGATTAAAGTAGTGGCATCCACTCAGCAGGGGCAGGGTTACCGCATTTGGTCCTTACTTGAAGCAAACAGAGAAGCATAATGAGGGCTGTTCAGATGCTTTATGAAGGATTACCTGCCAGGGCAGTGGATGCTCAGTGGAAACCACTGACCACTGGAAAGGTGGACATACAACATTTTTTAACTTAATTTTTTATTACTATTGTTTAAATATTATATATTTTGACATCATTTTTCTTTCTTGTACAATGCAGGCATTTTCATCTCGATTGTAGTCCCCACACAATTCCACCCTGTCTTGTTTCCATCCTGCTCACTCTGCCCCCGGCCCCACAGTGTGTCTCTGGTTAACAGCTGCTTGTTGATTTGGCTTTGACGACTTGACCCTGCGCTGATTAGGTGGTTAACTCTTTATCCTGCGCTTTTCAGTCATTGTCTGTTTCCCCTGGACTTACCAGCCATCAACTGTTTCCCCCTGCAACACATTTGTCAGCAACTATTATGCCCCAGGCTGCCCCTGCCATGAACCCGTTCCCCTGGGCTGGCCCGTCATACGCTGCTCGGCGCATGCCTGCGTCTGCCATCCCGCGTTTCTCCCTGCACCGCCTTTCGCTGAACTGCTTGCCCATGGGGTAGCTCCGCCTGGACAGATCGGGTGGGCGAGTTTTGTGGACACTCACTCACTCGCCGACACTTGTACCCTAGGCCGCCGTCAGGGTGTTTTGGCCTGGAACGCCTTGCTCATTGACTGCTTTTCTCCACATTGACCCAGCCAGGGATGGCCGCAGTCTCGAATGGCGGGTGTGACTCATTTTTGATCCAGAATGCTCGGCCATTCCCTGTTTGCCCCGGACAGACTCGGTCACCAACAAGTTTCCCCGCTAAGACGGGTCGCCCACTAGTCACTCCTGGACTCGGCATCATCAACCAGGCTGGACTGGTACCATCAGTCTCCAACTAGCTGGTCCTGGACTGATCACTGCTGGACTAACCGGGCCTGGGCTGCCTCCATCTTCTCGTGCACTGCCCGGTCCAGTGGGACCCTGTGCGTGAACAGGGTCACCCGCTGGTTATGGCTCCGCTGAAGCAGTCATCGCCCTGGGCTGCCAAAGATTGGAGTACTTGCCCGGTGCTGCCAGCCAGCGCTTGGCTGGGATGGCTTGCTCATGGGTATTTTTCTCTGCAGTGATTCAGCCGTGCTTAGTACCGTCTTGAAAGGTGGACTCCCTTGACCCAGCTTGTAAGGTCATTTGCTGGTTTCCCTCGGACTGACTGTCAGCAGCTAGTTACGTCTGGTTACATCGGTCATCCATTAGCAGGGCTTGGAGTGATGTGGCATCTACATGCTATGCCTGGCAAAATCGGCCACCCACTACTTAGGCCTGGTTAGATCTGCCATCAACTAGGTATGCCTGGTATCTTCGCTCGTCAACTAGTTATGCCTGGTAACTTCAAGCATCACCTAGTTCTGCCTGGACTGATCTGTCTTCCACTGCTGGTGCCTTGTGAGGTCAGTCATCCTGGAGTTAAGCCTCATCTGGTCCTGGCTGCTCCGATTGCCTGGGGCTGTGGGCCCTGAGCTGCCTGGTGGTGAACCCCTTTCCCCGATTGCCTGGGGCTGTGGCCCTGAGCTGCCTGGTGGTGAACCCCTTTCCCTCATGCTGGGCCCTCCCCAGTTTGCAGGGAGGGGCGTGAGCCCCTGCCTGCTGGCTCCTCTGTAACACTTGTTCTTGGCGTGAGTGCTTCACAGGCTCTTTGGCCTCAGCTGAGGAGAGCCGACCCACTCTCGCCTTCTGCAGGGCTTGCCCTGGACTGACCGGGTGTTCCCTATTTCCCGTTGACTTCCTGGATCATGGACAGGTAACCCCGGCTGTCTTGGTCATTGCCTGACGGCCCTGGGCTGAGCCCCCTCGGACCTCCTCCGGTCGGGATTCGCAGAAGTGGGGCGTCCCGGAATGTAAGCATGTACATTTTTGTGCCCGTGCGTGTGCATGCATGTGTGCAAGTGTCCTGAAGCGGGGCCCAGTTTGCATTCCAACCAGGAATCTGGGGCTTGTCCCTCCCAAGCATTTCGATGCCCAACTTTGCGGTTTCACGGCAAGTAAAGCTGGAGGGGTGATGTCTGCTCGCCTGTTTGGCTCATTTTCACTACCTGTGTGGCTTGACTTGTTCTCTTTCAGCTGTTTAAAATGTGACTTCCTCATTGCCCAGAATTCTACCCTTAACTCGCTTGTAAAACCGTTCTTTGGTTGGTCTGATCGCCGTGCGTTTATGGCCTTTTTGTTGTCCTGAAGTAGTCGTTGAATCATACTGTCCAGTGTGCCCCTGTGGTAGCCTCATCCAGAGAGATTCATGGCCAGAATCTGTTGCTTGATATTCCTTTTATGAGCCAAGGATGGCGGGGGGTGGTGGGGGGGGCAGGTGATTTCACCTTCTGCTAAAGAGTTGACAAATTCTCATGTGAAGCGGATTTCTTTTTATTCCCCCTCCCCAGTCAATACAGTGGATAAACAATTATTTAGGCCCTAGAGTAAGAAAAGAAAGAAACACCCTCACTTTTGATTGTTAATTTTACATTATGGTTTTCAGCTTTAAATGACAGAACTGCTTCAAGGCTTTCTGTCATACAGTCTTTTAAAACCATGGTGAATTTGTATGAAGAACACGCATTTCAGTATGATTTGGACACAGATTCTGTCTTTATTGCCTCCTTGTGGCCCAGCCACGGGGTCATGTCTGTCCACTAAAGGTGGTGGAGTGAGGCCTCCTTTGGTGGAACAGCAGTTGAGCGCTGGGCTGCAAAGCTGCCCACAGCCTCTGCAGTACCCTTTTGATCCCCGGCCACTGGGCGAGGGTCCCACATGGCACACAAACCTCTCCTTCCATGCCTGTTCTGTTCCCGCTCAGGCTCTGGGGAATTCTCTCACCCTCCTGTGTTTCTGTCTTTACTTTAAAAAAAAAAAAGTTGGTAGAATGTTATGTGAAAAAGAGACTGTGAGACAAAGGATCAGCAATGGTGGTTCAAATGAAAGTTGAGAAGTAGATGCATGCAAAGCAGGGAAGAGAGACCTTGGGGATCACTGAGAGCCACCAGACCTGGACCCACCTATTGCACACAACAAAGAAGAGGTACTTCTTTCAGCTTTCCAGTAAATCATGGAAGACACAGAAAGCATTTGTCAATGTGAAGAGTCAGGGGCTACCCATACATCTGGAGAGTTTGGACAGAGCTGGATAGTGCAGGGGTTCATGCGATGCTCTGCTCCTGTAAGGGTGTGAAGGACACCTCTCAATGCCTTGTCAGTTCCTCAATGAGTAGGCCTGTGGGGTAGCTGACACATCAGAACAGACTCCCTGAAGAGAACCCCATTCCAATCTGTAATTCCTAATCTCACCATTGGTCCCCTAGAACTTGCAGGTATAGCTGGAACCCCCTGGCCATAACTGGACCCACCTAGCCATCACACCAGACCCGAACTTTTAGAGGCACTGAATTTCCCCAGTCTTTACTTTTCTCTCTCTTCTTTCACTCACAGTTACAAACTTTGCTCATGTCCTCTGAGAACACACCCAACCCAAGGCACACTCCTCTAACTCTGCCACTTGAGACATCACATAAAGGCCACTTGGTGCTGGGCTCGGTCTCTGGCTCCTGGTCCAACTGCTGCAGCTGCCTGGGCTCCTCCACCCAGCCTTCAGCTGCTGCTAGAATGTGTCCTCTGCTGCTGCCCTGGGACCCGCATGTGGCACGTCGGGTACCTTGTGGCCAATGGTTACTTCCTCCTATGACCCTCTGCCACATGGGCCACCCCACCTCCATCACATATTACACCAGCTGCTCCAGCCCGTCACCTAGGCCTGCCTCTTCCTTGCTGTGCATTGTCCTGCCTGTTGCAGCAGCCACTGATGTTTGGGCTTCACCTGATGGTGGGTTAAGGGCCTTGAGGAGACACCTAGTCCATCTAATCAGATACCTGAGCTTCAATACCCCGTTGCCCTGGCCCCAAGAGCCCATGTGTGGCTAGGCTGGCATCTTTCATACCCCACTAATTATCTTTCTAGTGCTGAACTTTGCTGCCATGGGGAGACCTGGAAGGGAGACTTTGGTGTGTGAAAGGTCTGGAACTTAGCCAGATGATAAAGCTGGTTCTTATTTTGCCCTCCAACCTCTGACTACCTGGATCTTCCTCAGAAACAAACACACTTTCAAAGCATGACAAAACGACAGTGACTTTGGCCAGGAAGAGAGAGCAGATGATCTGATCACATGGAGGCAAGTAAGACACACAAAGCTAAGTGCCACCATTAGCACTGCAGTGGTGTTGAGATTGGACATGCCCCAATGTTAAGACCCAGAAATAATCAAGGAAACCACTGCCCCCAGGCAAATAGACTTTGCTTGCTTCATCTTAGCAACACATCCAAGTTCCAGTACTTCAGAAAAAAAAAATGATTTGTCCCTTGGTTTGTGTCCTGTTGAGTGAGGACTGGAAGCTAGCCTTTCAGAAACAATTCAAAAAAGCAGAGACTTGGCTTCCAAACAACCGCAAATGTTCACTGGCACAAGCAGAAATGTTAAAGTCTTGCTGATGGAATGCCTAGGGTGTCATTGGTGGTGGAGACTAATTCTCCTGGTGGAGCAGGGAGGGAGTCCTCACAAAAGGATCAAAAGATTCCTTATAAATTCTGCCCAAACTCCCTGCCTCCAAATTCTGCACCCCACATCTCACACCCCACATCTCTGCTCCTGAGCCCAGTACGAGTCCCATGGAAAAGCACCCAAATCACACAAGAAAGAGCAACACACAGTGGCTGGGAGCCTGACTAGGCAGGGTTTATTTATAATCCAGAGGTACGACCCAGGTTTCGCTGAGCCTCACTCTGTAGGAGACACCACAGGTCCGCTCTCACTGATGCCCGGTGTAGCAGAACCCTCCTGACCGTACATCTTCACCTGCAGTAGCCCCATCCTTGGCGTGACTCTGGGTCTTCCCTGGAACACAAAGGAAGACAGACACACGTGTGCACAAAGGAGTATCTCCTCCCATCTGCCTTACGGCCAGTTTCCTCTGAACGCCAGGGAGGGTGAGGTGTTCTTGACCAGTGCCTGGCAGGAAAAGTCAAAAGCAGGGGGCAGTGGTGGCGTCATAGATGTGAAAGGTCAACCAGTGGGATGAGCCCTCGCATAAGAATGCAAAGACAGCAGAGGGGAGGCTGGGCAGCAGGCAGCACATTAGGTGGGCCAGAACTGAGGGGGTTGCTGGCTAGGGCTCGAGGGTGGGCTTGGCATAGGGATAAGAGGGATCCATGGCTCAGATTTGGCTGTGAGCAATGGTGGGCTCCCTGGGCTGTCTGCATCGCTGGCGCCAAGCCTGCCAGGTCAGACTCAGCTTGCTGGGCAGTCCCCATGCATACTTCCCGCCTCACACTGAGACCTCCTACACTGGAGACACAGGCTCAGGAACCCGGGGTCTCGTGAGTTTCCCCGCTGGGGATGCCAGGGCAACAAAACCTGGGCACACATATACTTGGGCAGCCATCCTCCGGGGGAGCCTCACCTCTCCGCCTCACGATTCGTTCTCCCTGTACCTTCCTCCTCAGGTAGTACTGCAGGGGATCTGGCCACAGGTCCTGACAAATGATCTTCCGGGGACAGTGGGGTGGGCTCGAACCCCAACTCACTCAGCTGGGGGAACCCACCCAGGCCATGCAAGGCTTTCGCCAGGGAGGCCCCACCTCGGCAATCCTGCTAGAGCCTGCAAAATGGTGGTCGGAGAACCAGTTGAAGAAGTTCAGGCTGCTGTTGTCATGCCTGCGGCTGTAGGCTTCCCGTTGGTAGGCCTGGTGCCACTGAATGCGAGTGGAGTGAGAGGGCCTGTATCCTGCCGGAATAGGACTGTGTGAGAAGGCGCCTGCACGCTGGTTCCAGTGATACAAGGTCAACACACCGGCCTGCTGCTGCCTTCCTGGGGAGAGAACCCTTACCAGTGATGTGCACGAGATACTCCTTGATGACCACGTCATTCTGGAAGTAGGGGTTGTTCCGAAAGAGCAACGAAATCCTGCAGCAATCTCTGTGTTCTTCCACCTACCAGGACAAGTTGAAGGGCAGGTGAGACCTCATCCAGGAGAACAACCCTTTCCTCACCCTTGCCAGGGATCAATGTTTTCCCTGAACCTTCCCCGGCCGCAGACTCCCTCTCCCTGGGCTCACCTTCAGGTTGATCATGTAGCCCAGCATGTCTTCATCTTCGTCACTCAGCCAGGCTGACATCTGGGGGTGGTTCACAAACTGGCCTGGGTCAAGGAGCCTGCTGCCGCTGAACAGGGCAGGCTGGGGGGCAGCCGGAGGCTGGTCTGAGAGAGCTCCACGCCTCCTGGCCTGTGGGACCTGTCCTCCCAAGCCGGGAGGTCACCAGAGCCCCTCCACCTCTGCAGCGCCGGCTACAGGCAGGCCCACCCTACCCGCCTGGGTGGTGAGTGTGTGTGCAGCAACACAGGCAGGCCCCGCTCCCTGGGAGACCCTCATCCCCACTCCCATCGGCTCCCGGTTGCTGAGGACCGGGCACAGGAAGTCTCTGGGTGCGGGGCCGGCTCCAAGCCTGGGCTCTGCCTGTGGCTGCTCGCCCAGGGCCACCTGCCCACCGAATACGGGCTTTGCGCGGAAAGCCCTCCTCCAGGGCGCTCCCTGCTCTGCACCGCTGACCCCCAAGTGCCCCCACCGAGTCCCTCCTGCGCCGCCGGACCCCCACCCCCACCCCCACCCCAAGGCTGAGCATCCCGCGGGATCGCCAGGGGGCAGATCCAGGCCGTCCCCCAAGGCCTGCGGGCCGGCCAGCTACGAGTGTGCTCACGCCCGCCCGCGGCCTTCGGTCCAAGAGGCCTGCTGTGCGGCCTGCGCGGTGTCCCACCTGCCCGCTCCCCCAGCCGGGCCCTCCCCCGCCAAGCCCCGCCCCGCCCCGCGGAGCCTTTTTCGCAGCCCAGCCACACTGTGGCCCTGCCAGGGGAAGGGGAAGCGGCAGCAGCAAGGATACGGCCTTGGCCCAGAAGCCACGCACGCCCTGAATAATGGTGCCTCGGCGATCCAGATGGGGCTGGCGCCGCTGGCGCATCCTGAGCTTCAGCCTGCAGTAGGCCCGGCTGGCTTGCCTGTTGACTGGCTCCAGCTCTAACTGAAGCGCCTGCAGCGCCTCCAGGACCGATGGGGCGGTGACCGCGGGAGCGGGCCCTGGCTGCCCGCCCCCGCTGGCCACGGCCGCTGCCAGCGCCAGGCCTGCGCCCTCGCCCGGGTCTCCGTCCTCGCCGTCGCTGTCCAGGGTCACCTCTTCCTCAGCCACCACCTCCAAGGCGTCCCCCGGCACCAGCAGCAAGCCCTCGCCGCTACCCGCCTGCGCACCCTGGGGCCCGGCCTCAGCTGCCCGCCCACCCGCCTGCCCGAAGATGGCGGCCTGCTCCTGAGCGCCGTCCCCCGGGGGCCCGTCAGCCACGGGGCCTCGCTGGGAAAGGCCGCCCTGAGGGGCGCGCTGCCCCAGATGCCCTGCGGCCGCCGCCTCCTCGGGGCCGCTCGCCAGCACAGGGCCCACCGCGGACGGCCCCCCGGGAGCCCCGCCAGGGCCGGGCCTTGCCGCGCCCTCCATGCTGTCGTGGGTGCTGCGTGCGGGGCGTCCCCCGTGGCAGCTGTAACTGGAACAGCGCGGGGCGGGAGGCGCTGGCACGTGGGCCGGTGGCTCCAGAGCAGGCCTACTGGAGGCAGGCGCCGTCTTCAGGCAAGGCCGCTATGCCCAGCGGTCTTGCGCTGCAAGGCGGACCTCACCAGTGGGCAGAGGGCGCGTGCGCACAAGTTGGTCCTGACGCCTGGCGGGATGCTTGCCCGGCACACCCTGGCGGCCCAGAACCAGGCCGGTGGGCGGCACCGTCGACGGGCCCGCCCTCGCTGTGGGCCAGAGACCCAGGCCCAGCCCCCCGCGGCCTCCCAGGCCTGCGGAGCCTGCGCCCAGGAAGACCTGCGGCCGGCCTTGCAGCGCCCGACCCCCGGTGCCCGGGGCCGGCCTCCACTGCCGCTGGGCCGCTAGGGGATGCCAGCCCGAGAGCCGCCCCCACCCCTGCAGCGGACGGCAACCCTGTGTCCCCTGGGACGCCGCCACACAGCCAGGGCCCAGGGCACCTCAAGGGGCAGGAAGCCTGAGCCGCGCGCAGTGGCCAGTAATGAGGGCCAGTCGCATCCAGGCTGACAGGGGCCATCCCACTCACGGGGGACGAGGATCTCTGGCCGAGCGGGGGCCTGGGTGCCCAAACAGGCTTTGGGTGGAAGGCCACTGATGCAGGGGCCACAGGTCCAGGAGGGCTTTTCTGGTCCCTCTCTGCCTCGGTGCCTGGGAGGGTCAGTCTCTCCCTCAGCCTCACCTCTGGGTCTGTTCCCCCACCTCTGCAGAGGGGCTGGGCCTCACTCCCTCTGGCTGTCAGGCTGCCCTTCCTTGGTGGCCCTGACTTCCCCCACTCAGTGTCAGGTGTGACTCGGTGGGCACCTGCCCAAGGCCTGTTATTTTCCCAGCAGAGGATGGTGTCTGCTCCCAAGCAGGCGCCCCCTTGGACTGCTGACTCTGTGTGCCCACACTTTTGCATGCGTGTGCAGTGGGGGAAGAGCAAGGCACTGGTGCTTGCTCCTCGGCCATCAGAGTGGGAAAAGTCAGGAGATGAGCCCCTCCTGCACCCTTGGGCATGACACTGTGCAAGACGGAGCCTTAGGTCCCCCTTGAGAGGCTCCCTGCAGGATCGCCCTGGAGCAGGCTCTGTGCGCTGAGCGTGCCTTGTTGCCTGCCAGGGCTGTGCAGGATGTCCAGCCACAGCCCTGCCTCAAGCTCACCCTCCCAGCTCCCCAGCCACTGCGCTGGCCTTTAATACTTTTCACATCCATCTCCAAAGCACTGAGGCAGGGGCAGAAGGTCCTATCTGTGGATTTGTGAACGCTCCTGGCACCCATCCAGGGGCCCTCCGTGTTTTCAGCTGGCTGGCCAGGTCACTCAAGGGGCACAGTTTGCCTTTGTCCCTCACCAGATAGCCCAGGGGCAGGCGCGCCCAGGAGCTGCCAGGCTTCCAATCCAGTCCAAACACCAAGACAGGCTGGCAGGTCATCTCTATCTTCCCTGTGCCCTGGGGAGGTGGGGTGCGAGGCAGGTTGGGCGCTGAATGTCTTTCTGTGGGGACTGCAGCCCCAGCAGCTCAAGCCATCTCTCCAAGGCCAAGGCCGCTGCCACCCGAGAATGTTGCATGATGTGTTTAGGCCTTCACCATTCCCTTTGTAAGAGAATAGCGCCAAATTTAAGCAGGCCAAGTGCTTTATTTATTTATTTATTTTTTAATTTCTTCACTTGTAATAACAGAACTTTAATTTGGTTTATACTTTTCATGACATCGAAAAGACATCTCAGAGCACTTTTATGAAAGAGAAAGGAAATGAGGGGTAGGGCCTCCCTGTTGGCGCAGTGTTAAGCATAGCTTTATGAAGCTGTCTGTGACCTCATCAGCTGGAGGTTGATCCCAGGCCTGCCAGATAGCTCTCCGTGTGGTGCAGACAACCTCTCCTGTCTTGCCTGCTGTTCCCCTCAGCAGTGTATTTCAGTCAGTCTGCCTGCTGTGTTTCCCACTCTGTCTCTGGTGAATCCTCTCACTGCCCCCCCCCCGAAAGTGAGTTCTTGTATGCATAAATGAACAAATATTCAAAAAGAGAAAAGAAAGAAAACGAGGTAAAGAGCAGTGGGATCTGCAAGGTAAACTGTTGATAAAGGCACTAGTGAAATAATCAGATGAAGGTGTCTTAAGTTAACATTAGGTCAGCACTGCCCTTTCAGACCTTCTCAACCCAGCTGGTCGGCTGGGTTCTTGTGTACTACTGAAGGAGGCATAATCACTGACACAGGCTGAAGATTAACAAGCTCAGCTTTGTTGCAGAAGAGACTCCGGACAGCAGGAGGGTGTGTTAGGGAGCAATAGGTTACTGAGGGCATAGGTTCCCTTTGTGCAGGGCTCCTGAGGACTCTCCATTGTTCTTCAGAGCTCCCCAGAGTTTGTTCCACTCTGGAGTGCTTTTCCACTGCCCTACATTTTACCTCGTCACTTCCCTAGTCAGCAAAAGGTGTGAAGCAACCACTAGCTCACGCCTGCCAGCCTTGCGGTTATAAGCTTTTGCCCACTGCCCCCCAGCTCCCTCGAAGTGCTGTTCTTCCTGACTTCTTATGTTACTGGTGGTTTCCCCATCCCAGTTCCTTGGCTCAATGTATTTAGTGTAATTCAGTTATTTTGTTTTGAGTGTTGAGGGGGTAATGGACCATCAAAGTGGTGGACAGCTCTAAATTACTTGTTTCCTTCTTGTTGGAGATTTTTGTGTCCGTATTATTGACTTTGGAGTGAATAGAAACCCCCTTTTATCTCTCTAGTAATTAATTCATTTTGATTCAGTTAACGTTGGTTTACAAATGACGCCAGTTAATCAAGACGACAATGTATTTTGTGATGACAGCCCCAGATCCACTTCAAAACCATTCTCTCCTTACCTTGCCCACTGTTCCCTCCATCTTCCACTGAGCACCACTGATCAAGTATTGGAAGGTGCTGTTGGTCACTCACTGGACTGAATCTCCTCATGCACTCCTCATGGCTCCCTGGATGCCAGGACATGTCATTTCTCATGTATGCATCCCCCTTTGCAGGGACACTGGCCTCCTTGTGAAACGCTCTTTTTAATAGGGATGTATAGTGTAAAGGCTCATATGCCCATACATTCATTTACCCGGTAGAGAGGGAACCATGATTAGAATTTGACAATGACATAACAGTGAATCAGGAAGAAACGGAAAACCTCAGTCAGCCAATATCAAGCAAAGAAGTATGGGGAATATAACCAAAATGAAATGCGTACATTGTGCAAAGATGAAAAATGATGTAAGAATTATATAAAATAAAATATTAAAAAAAGAAGTTGAAACAGTCATCGAAACTCTTCCAAGAAACTAAAGTGCAACAGAAGGCACCACAGTGAATTCAAAGAACTAGTAGCTAGCATGCTGAAACTCTTTCTAAAATTCAAAAAGAAAGAATACTCCGAGGCTATTTTAGGAGGTATTACCTTAAAACCAATAACAAAGAGAGTCAAAACACACAAAGAAACCTAGAAACCAATTTCTCTTATGAACACAGATGTTCAGATCCACACAACTTAAGCAAATTAAATCCAGCAAGATACACGTCTGCACTTACGAATGCAAACAGCATCAATCAAAATCACTTCCAGGAAAAAAAAAAGAAAAGATACTAATATTTCTAGGGGTACATAATTGATGATAGTTTATGCAATTAATTAAAAGCTTAAAGAAAAAGGGTTGGGGATTCTCTATAGAAAGAATATCAGATAGGTGCTGTCCGTCAACGATGGTATTAGCAATGGATGGGAAAAGAGTAAGTTTTGTTCGCATGCAATTTTGATATTTGAAAAAGGAGACAGGGAATACATGGAAAAAAATTGGATGTAAAATATTTGTGGGAAACCAATGTTGGAAAAGAAATGTTTTTGGGATTTTTAGATTCACCTTTAATATTCACATCATACACGTATAACAGCAATTTTTCATTTTAATTCAGCCGCCAAAAATGACTGTTTACTTGGACTATTGAGTTGTTCATGACACAAAGTGTTGTGAAAGACTCCTTTGCCTTTAAGCAATCCGATTAAAAAAAAAAAAAGAGTGGGTGATTTGCACTAATTTCATCATCAGCCTTTTGACTCACTGTGAATCCTATCTCGGCAATATCTATTTCGAGTGGTTAATTTGCTCAAAACCATGTTACACTGCCACAAGTGTCTTTGAAATCTTTGTCACTTTGGCAAGATGGATAATCATGAGTTGCCTCAATAATCTGTAAGCTTCCACTTAATTAAATATCAAACTCCTTTCAACACTTTTAAAAACATCCCCCCCCACCCAATCTACAAGTAATAACGAGGGGTCAAAGAGAATGGGGAAGGAATGGAATACTACGAATGGAATGGAATACTACGAAATAGTAACCGATCCATGATAAACATTCCTGGTGACACCAAGGGCAGTGAAGCTTGCTGGAATTAAACATTGGATGTACTGCACCAGAGTCAAGAATGTGCCAGAGGATCATAAAGCTTATGCTTGTGATAGTAACATGCTCTTTGTCCCTCCAGGGGAATGTCATTTTGTTCAGGCATGATGTGACTGCCTGGGCATATGTGGCACAAAATGTTCAATGTATCTCTGACTTTTGCCTTGCAGTGGGACATATGTTGAGCAGAACTTGCCATCCTACTAGGGGTTCCATGAGGGCCTTAGGGAATTACACCTTGCTCCAGTGTTTGGAGAAGCCCATGCCTTACTCTCCAGTTTGTCCTCAGCTACTTTGTGGATGACCAGATTTGGTTTTTTACCAATTCACCCTGTGATTTTTTTTTTTTGTTTTTTTTAATAATGTGCTGATAGAACACCTGGAAGCATTTCTAGTGATATTAAAACGACAAAAGCAGAATGCAGTATTAACCACCACATAAGAGGATGTCTTTCTTTGCTCAGCTCAGTGCCCTATTGTATTGAATAGGGAGGGAGTAACCAAAAATTCC